GGACTACTTCTAGGTGGCCAATGACTCAGAGGCCGAAGTGGAGGATTTTTGCTGGATGAGGACTTGGATGCCGAGCTGGGGGTAGATTGGGTGCCGAGCTGGGTTGATTGCTGAGCTGGGTAGCTCTTCAGAGAAACCTGCAAGGAATCAATGTTAGAGGACCCGGGGTGTTTAACTCGGCGAGGTCGTTCCGATGATTAAGTTAGTACTCTCATAGTAGATCGCGAGCTAAAAAATCATAAAGTATGAGAGCTAGAATGTGCTAACTCGCCCCTCTCTTGTGTCATTGGGGTTGGTGCCTTTATATAGGCATTGTTTGGTTTGGGCCTCACGCACCGCATCCGAGATTTCCAAGAGGTCGTGCGTAACCAGTCCGAGATCCTCGGAGGTAACCGCCATGCACGTTGACCATCCTCCAGAACATTGGATACGTGGGCCAACTTTTGAGAAACCTGGGAGCGTTAGGATATGCATGTCGAATTTGTTGGAGAGCACATCTCGCAGGTCATCGCCTAGTCCCCAATCAGGTCGACAAGCTCTCGAGGGATGTCGCTCCTCGCGTCGAGATCACTTCAGGCGGTGACGAGGTGCTACAAGCTAACCCTGGACGAGGTGTTGCAAGCCGACCTAAGTTGTGGTCGAGGTCGCTAGGTCAGCGTAAAGGCAGATCGCCAAGTCAACAGTGAAGGCAAGTCGCTAGGTCGGCGGTAAAGGTAGGTTGCCAGGTCGGGGTAAAGACGAGCTGCAATTTGGGACTCCAAATCATCACTTAGATGGTGTCTAAGTGTCATCTAGCTATTCTGAGATGCCATGTGTCACAATGTTATTGGAGGGACAAATCCGCCCTCCTCAGGGAGTAGCCCATAATGTAGAGATGGCAATTTTCCCCATTTCCCTAATCCCCGTGGGAATCCGCTCCATGAGGATGGGAAAATTTTCATCCCCGTTAGCGGGGATGGGGAGAGCACTCCTCACCCTCTCCACCCTGTGGGATCCCCCACTAATATTTATTTATCTATGTATGTATACATTATATATTACACGTACGTCTATATATTAATATTTTAAAAAATATGTTTGAATCTTTTTTAATAAATTATAAATTTTTATTTTTTTAATAAAATAAAAAACAAAAATTAAATAATTAAGATTATAAAAAATTATGAAGAATGGGGATCGTGGGGATCCCCGTGGGTACGAGGATGGGGATAGCTTTGTCCCCGCCCTATTGCCATTCCTAACATGCCACCAAACCCTTAACTTCCCCAACCCAAGTGTAGCTAAGATTCGATCCTAAGTCTACCGCTTCAACCAGTAGATCTTATCAACCAACCAGGTACCTTGATTTAAAATAGTTATTTTTATTCTTTTGATATTTTTTATTACCATATAGGCATATATAGACCAATAAATGGACAGTTTTGCAATTTTACCTTTTTTTTCTTTTTTACCATCAACCGCGAGTCAGTGGATTAGGGGACAAAGTACTGGCATATCTAAGTGATCTAGAAGCTCACAGGGGTGGTAATCTGTAATTTACCCTTGATGTTACTCATTATTTATCCTTAGGCTAGGTTTGGTTTGAAATAAAATCTTTCCTTTTCCTATATTTTTCTTCCAAAACAAACACAACCATAATAAAAATTGCCCTATACATATTTATATTTGCACTCTTTCCAAACTAAGCCTAAGCCTAGTTGATACAATCAAATATATTTTATCCTAATTAATGCTTAATATTTCCCCTAATCCACTTTTGCCCATTGATATGTGATGCAATTAGAAGCTCCGGTGGCTATGATAAGAATGACTAGCTAAGATGAGACCGCATCAAGCGACGATGAACAAGAAAATAGTTGCGATGCAAAATATGCAATGGAATCGTAGGAGTATGATGCGACAGATAAGATTCTAGCATGGTTTTCAAAACTGGATCGGACCGGATGGTCGGATCAGAAAAACCGAGAATCGGTTAGGTGATTGATTCCAGCATTCTCCAAAATCGGATTTTCCATAAAAACTGTTGATTTTGGTCAGCAAATCGCTGACCCGAGTGGTTAACCGTTTGAACGGTTTTTATTTTTTTTATTTTTTTTATTTTTTTTATTTTTTTTGTCAAAACGGGTCGATCGCTCGGTTCGAATGATCAGACCATTCAATCCAGTAACTGGACCCTAATTGGTTCGGTCTTCGGATCGGTTTTAAAAACCATGGATTCTAGCGCGATGCAAGTAGCATGTGATGAGTTAGGACTTATCATCATTCTTGTATATGTTTAGCATTGATGTTGCATATATAGCACCATTTTCTGAGAAAGCGGTGTTGTGTATGTGTAGGTTGGAAGCACCATTTTTTGAGAAAATGGTGCTTTTTTTTTGTTTGAAAACATTGTTGTCAGGTAAGACGTTTCCTGTGGCAACAGCAACACCTTCTATTTGGTACCAATGCTCTATATTTATTTTCAACACTAGTACCCATTATAGGAAGTCCACTTCACTGCCACATCTTGTCCTCGTTGGCAGCGACAAGCTCCAAATTGAGAAAACATTGAAATTGGTATCTCTCTAGACCATGCCTTCACGATTTCCAAGGCATGATTTGAAGCACTATTTTTTATGGAAAAAACGATTTTAAACATGTCACCGTTTTCTAAAGAATCGATTTTTTCAACGTGGCACTGATATGTCACTGTTTTTTGAAGCAATAGCATCAATGCCAAACACCGCCCTTATTTGCCAACTACTAGAATTCTACAGTTAACTCCCCAGCGTGTGACAATTACATAACCAACCCACCAATAGATTCCTTGCTGAGGAATCTCCTTATAGCTAGATCACATGCCATACACCATTAGATGCTAGTTTTCCTTTTAGTTTTATGAGTGTCTACTTGATTCAAATGTCCTTTTGGTTATTTGGGTATAATGTTTTTAGATCCAAAATTGTAATATCTTCCTTCTCTTATCATTATATAAACCATAACAAGCTTTGTATTAGGCATTTTTAGGGGTGATCGTTTCGGCCCGGCCCAGAAATTCTGGGCTTGGGCTTGGGCCTGGGTTTTTTGTTTAGGCCCGGCCCACATATATTTAAACTTACACATTTTGTGTATAATGTATATATGCTATATTATATTATATTATATTATATTATATTATATTATATTATATTATATTATATTATATTATATTATATTATATTATATTATATATGTATATATATATTATAACATGATATGTATAATTTATATTATATGTAATATTTTATATTATATAATGTATAAAATAAGTTTATATGCATGTTATGTCATTTAATATATAGATATGTAATATTTTATATATGAGTTACATTGGCCTAGAATCAGGCCTGACCCGGCCCGGGCCCATGTAGACCTGGGCTAGGGCTTATGTTTTAGGCCCAAAACCCTGGGCTCGGGCCTAAACTATAGCCCTTATCATAAGTGCAAAGCCCAGCCCGAGCCCGGGCCCGGCCCATGATCACCCCTAGGCATTTTTTAAATTTTGAATACAACTAGGGCTTTCTACCTTCAAGGCGTTCCTACATTTTTCTTTTCCCTTTCTTTATTTTATTAGTAATAACCAATGTGATGCATGAGATGCTGAATTTCTACTTTTTTATGTGTAGAATAGTAGAAAAAAAAATTCTTTTCTTTTTTAGTTATAAAGCTTCAAAACTTTCTTTTCTATATAGCTTATATATTATAAGAAGCATATAAATCAATTGATGGTGGACAAGGTTCAAAATATCGGCATGCCTAATACATCGGTAAAGGCGTATCAGGCAGTATCGATAATTTTTTTTTTTTAGTTTTTTCAATTTTGGTTAAGAGGGGCCGGTTTAAGGTCCGTCCGCCCCTTAAACCCATTGAAACCCCGATACACCCTCTATAGGGGCGTATCGGGAAGCGCCTGAGGCCCGATACATATCGATACTTTGAAACTTGATGGTGGATCAATTTATACCTTATGTGGTTAGTTGTAGCAAAGACTTGGGTTGGGGTAATGGCTACCTCCCATTTTGTAGCCCTATAAAGCAAAAAAATGTGCTTAGCATGAGATTAATAACCAAGTTAAAGAAAGAGTTATTAAAATTGAATTGATAAAGCTAATCAAAAACTCACGTTAAGTTATTTCTTTTTACATTTTATTATTGAATGGAACAATCTATTAAATAAATCTACATTAAATTAAATTAATAAAAAACAAAGGAGTATATGGTTTTGTTTAAATTGGTTCACCCCATGTAATAGTGGGTAAATTTGGGTTTTTAGACATCAATTTAGGTATAAGTTAAGGTTCATATTTAGGTTGACCCTTAACCTAATCCAATCCATCTAATTTACACGATATTTTAAGAGAAAAATAAAAATTAATAAAAAGAGGAAATATTACAAACATTAAGGTTGTATTTAATTTGAAAGAAAAAATAGGAAAAGAAAGGAAAATGTTGGAAACCTTTATAAACCTCGTATGAATTTCCCAATATTTTCCCTCTTTTCCCTACCTTTTCCTGCCTAATTATAAATTAATATGTGTGAAAGAGAAAAATTTATTAGAGTAAATATGAATTTTATGAAAGAAGATAAAGATCTATAAAGTTTTTAATGATTTAATATAAAAACCTCAAAACCTTATCACCATTTAAAAGTGTAAAAGTTAAAAAAGACATTCGGCCATAGATTACAAAAACGAAGGATAAGCTAAAAAAGATACCGGTGTCGCTGGCTCGACACCGGCCGCACCACTATCGAAGCGAATGCGGGGCCCAGCTAAAAACTTGAAAATAAAAAAAATAAAAAAAAACGACAGCTTGAATCAGCGGCATCTAACGTGGGCAGTGAACTCGCCGTAAAAAATTGAGAAAGAAATTAATCAAGAAAGGACAAAAAAATGAGGGGGTTTATATGTAAATTTGAGTTGAAAGCTTGGGCGTTTTCGGAAACCTACCTTTTAAATAGACCAATTGCGCAGCTCAGCAGAGTCCATGTTTGTTTCCACTCTGCGTCTGAGGAGGTGAGGAGGTGAGGGAAGGTGAAGAAGCGTCGGGGAGGAGCGGCGTCTCTCGGTCGACATTTCGATAAGAGAGGTTTGAAGCAATGGGTGAGAAAAGATTTGCCGTTCTTCTCTGCGCTGATGATTCGGATTACGTGAAGAAGCTTTACGGAGGGTATTTCGGAATGTTTATGGGGATGTTGGGAGACGACGGAGAGACGTGGGACAGGTACAAGGTTTCCGGCGGCGAATTCCCCGACGACGAGGAGCTGGAGTACTACGATGGGTTCGTGATCACCGGGAGCTGCAGTGACGCGCACAGCAATGATGTATGGATCGTCAAACTGATCAATCTCCTCAAGAAACTTGACTCCATGAAGAAGAAGGTCCTCGGCATTTGTTTTGGGCACCAGGTATGAGCGTATTCTTAATTTAGTCACTTCAAAGAAAGAACAAATCTGGTTAATTTTACTTTCAGATTTCCTTGTAGATCTGGTCTCTTCTCTTGTGCGAGAGTGTTGTTTGCTGCGATTTTCTCAGTACTCATTCGTCTTTGGGAGATTCGAATCTTTTAATTTGGGAAAAACATGCATTGACAGAGACAAAAACAAAAACAAAAAAAAAAGTTTTTTTTTTTTTTTAGTTGGACTGAAATTGATCTTACATACCTCAACAACACTAGAAATATGCCTGAACAAAGCTCTTCTATGGGCTCGTGGAGGGACAAAACTCAGAGGTCACAGAACCAAGATTAGTCTAATAAATAATAAGCGCTTGATGAAGAAATAATGACGACAAAGAAGGTTTGTGTATATCTACGGCAGGCATCGACCCTGCAACCATTTTTTTAAGCTTTATCTTTTTTTTCTGAAGGAAGGGAGACGAGATATCAGATAGCTGGCATATCAGGCTGGCAGGAGTCAGTTTTCACTCTTGTTTGTTTGTATTCAGCTGGAGTGAGTCGATGAAATTGCAGGGTCAGATGTGATCTGGCACGTGGAACAGATCCGATATGGGAATGGGAATGGCCCCAATCAGGCTGGGACGCGATCACAGGATACGACTCTGATCACCCCGACAAAGAAAAAAAAATTAATGAAAAAGTAAAGAATGGCAGGTGGAAAGCAAAAGGGCACTGTGGAGGCTTCCACAGGCAGAGCCAAGGTTCTTCATTTGGAGGAGGAAGAGGAGGGGCACCTGTATTCTATAGATAATAACGAAAAATCAGCCACGTAAAACTCTTGTGTTAATCTGAATGGGACTCTTTAGTCTTCACTTTACAATTGATAGATTCATTTATACTGTACATCTGTAACAATGATGATGATCTACAACTCATTGGGTATATCTGTTCATGGTATCACAGCATTTGGAGATGAGATCATCGATCAGCTCCAACACGTCGAACAATCTTACCAATCTCATCTCTGTTGAGATTCGAGTTCTCCCAGTTTTGAGAGGCTTGGAACTAACAGAGAGAGAGAGAGAGAGGAGTGCTTCCCATGTCCCTTGGCTGTTTGCTGACTCTGCTCGATGCTCCACAAACAGCTAACCGGAATCACTCCACATCCACAAACTAGGGCCCTGCTTTTGGGTTGTACAATTAAATAATCAATCCCTTGATTGGTTGGTTAGCTTTGTTTAATCCAATCCTTGGAATACTTCGAAGACTGTTATGAGTTGTCTGTAAGTGTTTGTTTGATCAAACGCAGATCCTATGCCGCGCCTTGGGCGGAAAGACGGGTCGGGCGGTGTCGGGGTGGGACATGGGAATAAGAAGCGTAAACCTGGCTCCCTCCAAGCTATTCTCCGCACTCAAGTTGCCTTCTCGCCTCCCCATCATCGAGTGCCACCGAGACGAGGTCAGTGATCAGCTTCAGAGTTAGTACTGTGATGCTGCCCCTCTCTGAGCAATTTTAATTAATTCTGTTAGACATGTAGGTGTGGGAGCTGCCTCCTTACGCAGAGGTGATGGCATGGTCTGATAAGACTCGCGTCGAGATGTTCAGGTATGGGGATCACATCATGGGTATTCAGGGCCACCCTGAATACACCAAGGACGTTCTTCTCAACATCGCCGACCGCCTCCTCCACCGCAATCTCATCCAGGTAGAGAGCCACTGCCCACGGCGATCGGCCACCACCCACCAACCATCTTTTTCTTACTTAGCAGACATATCTGTGTCGACCCATTGCAAATGTTCTAATAAATTTATGATGTCAGGAGTCCCAAGTCGAAGCGGCGAAGACGAGCGTCGAGCAGCGGGAGCCGGACAGAGAGGCGTGGAAGAGACTGTGTAAGACCTTCCTCAAGGGGAGTCGTCTATTGGTATACTAATAACAACGTAGCAACTGTCAACTGATGTTCCGTCTATAAGGAAGAATAACAATTTGTTGAACGCTTGACATCCATTTAGATTTTGTAAATATTCTCATCAAGTTGTTCCTTTTGTTTTTTTTTTTTTTTTCTCGACGGAAATGCTTTAGTCTTTAGAAGCAAGTTTGCGTGTTTTTTACAGGGTCGATGATTCGATCTGGTTCCAGGCAAAAACATATTGGAATTAGGTTGCTTAAAAATCAGAGAAAAGGAAGAGTGGACTAAAACAGCGCAACCCACAAGTTAGCTTATGGGTGACGTGGATCCTCTTCTAAGTTTAATTATATTCGTCCATTGCTTCAGTATTTGTGGCTTTTCTGCTCAGATTACTATTAGAATTTAGAAATCCCCCAAGGCTTTTCATGCAAATCAGGAGTGGAACCTTAGATTCATTCAACCCACGTCGGTCTTAACTGTGATGGTCCATGGATGGCAACCATACCATCTACAGCCGTAGTAGGGCCGTAGCATCAATCATCATAAAGATGAATTGCGCAATCATCGCTCACAAGTAACAACATCTACAATTTTGTATTTGCATTTTCTGAATCCCCAAAATGGGTTGCTGTTAAAAGTCCCAAGTGTTTGATAATGGGTATTGCACAAGAAATGAAACACCAGACTCACAGTCACAGAAATCAGAATAGTTAAAGGGGAAGGGAGATAATGATCTCAAAAGGTTTTGATTTTGTAACACCGATAGAAGAGGGGAATTCGAATATCACATAGAAAGCTAATGACGAGACGGTGAAGGTTCTCTAAGTTTATGATGACATGATGCAGGAACGAAGTTATGGGAGTAGTAGCATAGCATATTTTGAGGTCACATCTGCACGTAATAGAATGCACCCCAAAAACGCCCCACATGCACATCTCAGCGAGCGATAACATCTCCGATGGGATGTGCTGTATGTATGGGTAATGAATTGAAGCTGATATTTCATGTAAAATATCAGCGTGCGATAACATCTCTCCTCCAACCCTTATAATACACCGCCCTAACCCAAATACCCTCTTCCTCTGTTTAACAGAATCATATCCGCCCTAATCCAGCAGTCCCCACCTTTGTCGTCGACTCGCCACCAGCTACTGCAATCTCTCTCTCGACTTCCCATCTCCTCTCTTCTATTATTTGAAAAAGAAAAACCCTAACCCCCTTTATCTCTTCTCTAATCTGTGTTCAACCGTGAACAATAAGGAGCCAGAACCAGGACTGGAACTGGAACTCTAAGTGTATAATAACAAGAATTCAAATTTGGACTTGAGAGATAGCTAAAATATCAACCATTTTTAGAATTTTGGACAAAAAATTAGGATTTATTTATTTTTTTTAGTTATATGTTTATATATGCATGTTTTATGAGTGCTTTTATTCATGTCCTGATTTTTTACTACATTGATATCTATGTTATTCATGATTAGTTAATTATTTTTTTATATACCAGTTCTGTAGTCCAAGTAAATTATAGAATGGTACAAAATCCCAAACCATAATAAAATAGTTTGGTTTCGTTTAGTTTTTATGCCAAAGCAGTTTGGTTTGGTCTAAGAATTTCCCAAACCACAATTTACTGGTTTGGTCTAAGATATTCTCCAAACTACACCAGATCGGATCGCGAACACCCTTACCTCCAATACTACTAATGCTAGGGGTGGCAAGAGAAAAATCAGCAATGTCTAGAATATGTTTAATGACAAAGTTGGTACTAGGCATTTGAAATCAAATAATAATGAAATTGAACACAAATTGAGCATAGGTTTTTTGCCAATTTTGACTATTCACAAGAAAAAAAAAAGAGGCAAAAACTAAAAAATATATATCATATATGCCGAACAACCATTTTTATTAGTTGTTGATAACTAACCATTTTATTAGCTAGCCCTAGGCTTCAAAGATTTTTTTAAATATTTATGTCAAAAATCTGAGATAAAATATAAAGAAGAACTTGTATAAAATGTTCAAACACAAGTGGAATTCCACCTATTCTATGTTATATAGTAAAGACATTATTACTTATTTTTATAATGAGAAATGCCCCATAATGTTATAACTAATGATGATTGGGAAGTTACAACCTGTATAAAATATTTTTGATAACTTTTTTATGATGCAACTAATGTATTCTCGAGTGCTTATTACCCAACATCTTGTATTTTAGTTAATCAATTGTTTATAACCACTGCATGTTTTAAAAAATATAGACATGATTTAAAATTTAAAAATATTGTTAGTGCAATAAAATAAAATTTTAAAATATTAGAAAAATATTTCTTCTTTTACCTAACTGCAATATTAGATCCTAAGATTAAAAAATAAGTTGTAGATGTTTTACTTGAATCTTATTATGATAATATGGGAATTGATCTTGGATTTAAAAAGATGAAGTTAAAAATTTATTATTTATAATGTTTGGACACAGAAGAACTTGTTTAGGCTCCACTTCTAATAGTGGATTAGATAAAGTTTTGTCGTTACTAAATAAAGAGCAATAATCAGTTGTTGCTTCATCAACAAGTTCATTTATGGAACTTCATTTTTATTTATAAGTTAATTTAACATATTTACTCCCCTATGAGGAATTACATAATTTTGATATTTTAGCCCAATGAAAAGAATGTAGAAAATAATTTGCTTGCCATGTGATCTATTAACCCCTTTTAATGTCTATAGTTCCATCGAATTATTGCTTTAGTGCAAGTACTAGGGTATTATAGGACAAGAGAAGTTTCATGTATGAGGAAAGTGTAGAGATGTGTATATGTTTGATGGACTGGCTAGATGTAGAAGACAAACAATAAGATCAAAGAGGACATGGCACTTCAATTGATGGTGATGGTTCACCAGATTTAGATTGTGAGTATCAAAATCAAGGAGATAAAGGAGGTGGAACTTGATTTTGAAGAAAATATTGAAGTCAATGCTTTTTTGTATAGTCAATAATTATATATCCAATTTTATTAAATTATTTTATTCCAATTCCTTTGCAATTTTTTCAATTAGTGTTACTTCATATATGATCGAATGTATGCATTAAATTCAAATGAAATAAAACTTTTGAATTTCTTTTCAATTTAGTATCTATTTTCTATCTTGTTAAGTTTTTTTTTTCGAAATATTTATCATTTTACTTAGCGAAAAAAGTGAAAAAGACTTGGCAAAATTGCCAAAGGATCTGGTCCGTGGCTTGGCAAGGCCTCCTAGCATGGCACAAGCCCGCCTAGGCTCGTGTCCTTAGTCATGCCAAGCTTCCCCTATGAGGGGTTCCAAGCCAGGCAAGCACAACACGCTACAGTGCAAACAAACCACAAAATTATGTCATATTGACACGACACGGCCCACACCTCTAGGGCAAGGGCAAGAAGCCACTTCCATCACCTTCTATGTGAAAAGCCCATCTCCCGTTCTTTCTACCATTATTTTTTTATGATAAGGATATTAACACAAATATTCAACATATATCCCAAATTTTTTGCCTCAAACCTTAAATAAACCCATTCCAAAATGGGTAAAATATTCAAACAACCCTAAGTTTTAGGAAATGGACTAGAACTTAAAAATACCCTTAGTTTTTTAACAATTAACAAAATCCTCCCCTACCGTTGGCACGCCATTACAATCCGTTTGTATACGATGCCACGTGAATAATTTAATTTTTTTAATTTCCAAAACTATTCCTTACAATTGAAAACACCCTTCGACCTAGTTAATTACCCCTCAAAGATTCTGGCATCAGATTGAGCCCACCTAAGGTGTGCCACTACATGCGCGTTTTAACAATCAAAAGATGATTGAGATTGTGCAGAAATTGAAAGAAGAAAGGAAGGCACATATGCAAGACAAGGGAGCAGCAGATGGTTGCTAACAGAAGCTGGAATGGTATCTTTAGCACGGGCTTAGCCATGAGCTTGTGCTTTGAGATATCTATATCTGCGTCAGTTTCATTTTTATCAAATTGTGCAGGGCAAAGTGTAGGACATGATATTTTGTACTTCTATTGCCATAGGTTTTCAAATAATTAATTTTTTCTTTTGGGTTCGATATAATATAGAAAAGATATGATATCCAAAAAACAACTAACCAATAAATTGGAATTATAAACGTGGTAGCCAATTCGGTGTTATTTATCAAAATTCATGGGTTTTGATTGATCAAAACTCTTTCCATATCATATCTTTTCCCTTTTCCTTTTTTTTTTTTTGAACAAAAAACAACAAACAAACAATTATTTTTTTCTTTTGTAACGGAAGTTGAACCCGATTACATTGATTCCATTCTGATCTAAGAGAAAGGCCAAGCACTCGAATGTCCCATTGAGAAACTAGGAATCACCTTTGCATATATTTCTTAGGGATGTTAATGGATCGGATCGGATTCGAATCAGAGTATGTTTGAATTCGATCCAATAACAGAATCCAAAATCCGATCTAAAGATCTAATTGGATTTTACAAATGGTTGTTCGAATCTGAATCCGTTAAAATGTCAGATATCCGAATCCGATCCAATCCAATTAAATTATGAAAATTTAATAAATTATTAAAAGAAAAAAAATATATAAAAGTTTATAAAAAGAAAAACAAAAATATAAATATATTTCAACTATTTTCATCATATATATTAATATATACATGTCCTTTTATAATTAATATATGTTGGATCTGATCCTTTTGGATCGGGTAAGTGATCCGAATCTGATCAAATTTCCAAATCGGTTCTAATTATCCGATCTGATCCAAGGCCAAAAAATATAGGATTATCCGGATCCGACAAGTTGGGAATTACTTTTGTGGTGGTTAATGGTTGTAACAACACATCTTCATCTTCCGCAACAGGTTCTAATGTTCTGTCTTTAATTGTGTGTCTCGGAGGATTCAGCGAATCTATTCTCTCATTCATCCCCTTCTTTGGTCCTCAATGATGATTGAGTTCACAGAGTTTGAAGAGAGTTGTTGCATTTTCTGGTGCTGTTATAGCCGTTGGATTTTATTTTAAAAAGTTGAAAACTAATAAAAGACAAAATCAACAGAACATCATTTTGGCGATGTAAATTGTCAATAAAAAATTAGGAATACTGAGGTTTTTCTTACAAATTTTAGTCATTTCTTAAACCTGAAGTTTAAATATTTTATCCTTTCAAAAACCCAAAATATATATTGTAGTCAGCATCATTCAAAGCTGTTTAACTCATAAATCCAAGCCGGTTATAAAATGGCAAGACAGCACAAAGCATTCACCTAATCCTTTGGCCCCAAAATGGGTGAATACATTATTCATGTCCTGATTCCTAAGGCTCGTATACCATACAAAATATAAAGTTTTGCACTCTACGTATTTGCATTTGCATTTGTACTATATGCCAACCCTATTAAAATAAAGCATTCCAATCGTACCATATGCCAACCCTATTAAAAACCAACTTTCATCGATCTAATAATGTCAAATGCTAACATTTTTTTAAGTTAAAACGTTAATGCAAAACACCATGCATTTTGATCCATGGACCTCCCTCCCGCCCATACCATAATATGCCCGCAACCCCAAAAATGTGAAATGTAAAGCATAGAAGTAATGAAAAGTTGAGAAGTCATGGGTGTGTGTTCTACATTTAAATTAGAAGTAATCAAAACGTCATGTAACAGTAGCAATCGACATTATTGACGCGAATCCTTCATTCATCCACTAACATTCCCCCATCAATTATAAAAGTGCTCAATGGGTAATTTAAAAAGGCAGTAAGTGAAAGTGATATCCAACGCCAGGGAGGGGGCCGAGCGAATACTCACTCAAGCACCCATTACCGACCCAGTGTTCCTCCGGCACTCGTTCAACATATCAAGATAGAATTGGCACTTGCTGATGTCACTCCCGTAATTGTTGATGCACTGCAAAATACAACAAATTAATAAGAAAATAACGATGGAGTCTGAAGTTGAATCAGGTAAATAACGACATGATGAATGGCATTCTACCAATTTGAAGCGAGTGGGAATATTACAATGTTCTAGTGAAGGAATGAAGAACTTAATTTGACTTACGTCTTGGAAGGCCTTGGAATGAATGTTGCATGCATCAGACCCACCAACACTGTTCATGGTTGGAGCTGGGGCAGCTGCAGCAGCAGCCTCAGAGACTACAGTTTCGTGTTGAATGGTACGAGGTCCAAGGACAGCATCAACAGCCCGGTGTGCAACTGCACTTCCAGTTCCAAAAGCCATGCCTGTCAAAGATGGTATCACACAAGCATAATTAGAGAATCCATCATTTCCTCCACCACGTTTGATCACTTGTCAAGTATCAAATTCTTTGTAAATACAGAAGAGCATTGTTTACATACCCTGAGCTACAGTGGCACCAAGACTGCCGAGCAAGGATCCACCACTACTGCTACCCTGGGCAGGGGCTGGAGGAGGAGCATGACTGGCTGCAGCAATGACAATTGACAAGCGAAACCAGAGAATCAACTAATAATTGACAATAACACTAGTTTCACCTTTCAACTTCCAATATGCATCAAGCAGCATCAACTTGCAGCAAAATACACCAAGGTAATGGTATAACCAAATTATGATATGGCAATCTTGAAAAGAGACATTTCTTCACATGATGATTATCAGGATCATTACATCAGAACCCAGAATCAAACAGTATATTTCAAGTCAGTAGTCAATAGCAGATTTCTGTAGCCACTAAAGGAATAACATGCTGAGACTTTATAGCCATCTCCGTGGATTTAAGAATAGCCATGCAAAGTGCTCTTTACCCTTAAGGGGGCGTCCTTTTTTTGGATTTTGAGAGGGGGGAATGTTGGTCAATGGGATTTTGTTTCTCATTGACCAAGAAACCCATGTTCTTTTTTCAGATTTATGTGGGGACCAAGGAAAGTTTATTTTCCTGGGCATTACAAGTGATACCCATCTCCTAGGTGGGTAAATAACTTTCCCAACACTTGAACGGGACAAAAATACCCCTTTTAATGATTGAATTTTATGGCTAAAATGGCCATTGCCTTATTTACATGGGAAATAAAAGAACATGGGCAAATGCACTTACCCGGGTAAGTCTTTCCTGGGAAACACTTACCTGGATAAGTGTAATTACCCGGGTAAATAACTTACCTAAAAGAAAACGGGGACTAAGAGTTGTTGAAAACTAATGTTGTCCACCTATAACAGGAACATTACATGATGGACAAGGTAATAGAGAATTTACACTAAAAGTTCAAGCACCAAAGTCCCATTTATAAGTATCCAAGAGTGGTGGTGAACGGTGAAAGTTACGCTACCCAGCCACAGCTGGAACATGGCACAGACAAGGCATTGGACAAGAATTTACACTAAACTTGATGCTTCCATGGGCTCATTTTGAAGTTCTGCCCAAAATAGGTTGAACACAATTTCCTAAAATCCATTAGATGGTTTAAGGTACTAATATTGTAAGTAATTTATCCTATTATATCATGTGGTGAAAGGCAATTCATGAAAAACTGATAATGAATTCACAAAAAACCAGTTCATCAGCAGAGGGGTGCAACTTACCATATCATATCATGTAACATAGGTGATAGGTAAAGGCAATTCCTGAAAACCTAGTAGAGGGATTTGTGGAGACTAGTTGTCAAGGCAATACCTAGGGACTAGGGAGGCACCTAGGCAACAAGGCACAAATAGTGGGGTTCACTTATATATGAATTGAGTCAGTTTCTAGATTATCTTGGACTAGAAAAAAGTGGCCTGCCTACTTCACCCCCTTTATATGTTGGTTTTCCTTGTGTGTGTATTCCTTTTCCCATGTTCATATTATTTATTTTCAAAGTTCTGTGTTTTTTCTTCATTTTCTTGGATAAAAACAGGGTTACACCCCTTTCTCATTCTTCTGTTTTTATTTTTACCCCTTCTTTTTCAAGGACCAAAACAGGGAAGATGTCCTTTTTTATGTTTAATGGGTTACTTATTTTATTGCTTTTTAGTCCACAATTACTCTATGTTCTATTAAATATATATTTCATTAGAATGTTGTGTTTGGGATGTTGATATCATTATATTTAAATTTAAAATACCATTCTTTGAGTTTGGATGGGCTCCCCACAGAGAGCGCTCCACAGCACGTCCATCCCATGCATTGGGAACATCTCCCATACTTGTCATGGGAAGATGTTCCCAATGCATGGTAGGGATGTGCTGGATGCATGTGGGGTGCACTCTGTGGGGATCCCATCCAAATTTCAGCTTTTTTATAATTGTGAATATTTTTTCTTTTGACATGAGATTTATTGCCAAGTGAAGATCATTGCTGTTTTTTAAATATATATGCCCATTATGCTATGTAAAACTAGGAAATTAACATATGATCTAGAGTCTTCTTAAATCAAAATCCATCACCTAGGTAGGCACCTAATCAACTAGGTGACCGAGTCTGGGTGCTCCCTATGACCTATCACCTAGTTTCACCATGGTGGCTTGATAACTATGCTTGTGTCAAAGTGACTCATCTCTACTTTTGGGGTTCTAAGGTGGTAAAATGCTTTAGCCAATAGGTTGGGCAAGAAATGGTTTATAAAGGGATCTAAATGCTATATCACTGTAAAGTTTATAGTGATCCTCTTTGAAAGTCTATCTTGTACAATTATTGTAAAGCATATTAATACATCAATGCAATACACAATGCATGCACTTTAACACCGACAAAAAAACGACCAACAATTAGCAACCTCAAATTTCACAGCCAAAATAGACAAAGCTTGTAATGAAAAAGTATCGCTTGTCAGATGAACTACTGTAATACCTGGCTGAGGGGGGTTGCGTACAGGTGCAGGACGGGGAGATGCACGGGGAGCAGGTCTTCCTGCAAGAGTAAGATAAAACAAAGGGATATATCAAATCATTAGCCAAAACAAAGAAATGAACAGAAAAGATAAACTGTGACAGTGCACCAAGTGAAATAGAAACCAATTTCCACTAAAGAATAAAGGAATATGCCACTATAAAACAAATTTATAAACGATGCTGCTGCAACAAAATGAGGCCTAGTTAAATTGGCAAAAAACCGAGTAAGAATTATGTCAAATCAGTGTGATAATTCGAAAAGAAAACTTCCCAATAAGGGTCAAAGTTGAAGCCAAGATAACAGGATTACGAAAAAAAAGTAATTTTTTCTATTGATATTGGCATTCTTAAAGTACATTGCACATAAAACCATGAAACAAAACAGCTTGGATAATGAGATAAGTTACTGGCCACAAGTCGAAATGATATTCACTTTACTAACAGACAACTAACCAAGTGCACAACTCGTAAACTACATGTTTTTCTATATTAAAAATAAAAAAGGAAAAAAAGTTGTATATAAAAAATAATAAAAGACCAAAAACGGTGACAAACTTGTAACCATCAGCAAGAACCTTTCTATTTTTCCACGGTTGAGACAACAAACAAATTAAGTGAAAAAAATAGAAGAACACAACCAGACATAGAACAAACAGATGAGTCTGAGTAAAGAGGATAGAAAGAGCCTATGTGGTTAACGAGTATATTGATGTGGTAAACAAACCCTAGATAAAATAATAGTCGATGAGAATAGCTAATTTCATTACATCAATTTAGAAATTAACAGAATGGAGACTTGAAAATGCAAGGAAGAAGAAGGAAGGAAACCCTAACTTAACAGATAGGGAAGAGATGAGTCGAGACTCACCAGAGCTTCGGCGCGGCATTTTTTTAAAGGCGGCGAAACACAGACGAGAGAGAGAGACCTAAACCTCGAGCGCAGAACAACGCCTTCTGAATTCCAACTCTGTGGGGGCAAGGAGAGGCTTACAAATTACTATTTATAGTTAGAAATCTGATGGGACAGTTTTCTGCTAGTATGCATATTTACGTTTTTCTCCTCTGTAACGGATCTTATTTACATATCCTTTGAGATCTTTTTTTTGTGGCTATATTTGGTTGAAGCCTAAGACGGGAAAACCTATATAATGTTTATAAAAATTTTCTTACTCTATTTTTTCCTTGAAATCAAACATGGCCTAAATTTTACGTGAAAATTCAAATTCTATCTAATAAAATAAATATCCGGAAGGTGAAATTAAATATTGGCATAGAAATAATTTTAAGCCTTATTTCATGGACATTTTTTAGTTAAATTGACTTCTTTTCCAAATGCCACGTTCACATGAACTATGATACACATTTTTAAGGGGTAAAATTGACATTATAGCAATCACAAGATCTTCTAGAACCTCCTCCCGGTATATACTGTTAAGATGCCGATTACCTAGGGTCCCAGATGGTGACTGTGCACGTAACACCACATCCGCACCGCACATTGAGAACGTCTCCCTTGAATGGATAAATCGGAAGTCGGATACCCGATTCGATACCTTATCCCGGATTTAGTCATTTGACCTAAAGGTGTAAAGTGGGCTGGTACGGCACGGCCCGTGGGAAAGTATGGGCCGTGCTGTGTTGGCCCGCGGACCATAGGTAAAAATTTTGAGGGTTGGTTCGGCACAGCCCACGGGCTCATATGGGCTCATGTCATGCCATGGGTTAGATTGGCATGTGCACCGAACCTTAGGCAGGTCGAGTCGTGTATCGGGCCAAAGCTATTTATTTAAAAAATTTGACAAAAAACTTAAAATTTTAATTTTATATTGATTTTATGTATAAATTTGTTTATATATGCAATAATTAAATAAATTAGTATAATAAAATTAAAAAATATATATTTTATTAATATATTATATACTATATATTATTATATAATTATAATATATATAAAATGTATATATAATATATATAAAATATAAAATATATATGGGTCGTGTTGGACCGGGCTACGAGCTGGGCCGTGCCGGCTTGTAGACCTAAAATCCCATGCCCAACACGGCCCGCATGGTTGTGCCGGGCCAATCCAAGTTCGTCCCAGGCCATGCCGAGCTGCGGGCAGCACGACCCGATTTACACCTCTATTTTAACCCATCCCATCCGATTAAATTTGGAATCGGATAATATTTTTATTTTTTTCCTTCTCTCTTTTTTTTTTTTTGCTTCTATACTGTAGTATAATTATCTCTCACCATATATATATATACATATACATATATAGAGTTTTAATTGGCATATTTAATTTTTATATTTATATACATGTATTAGTTTAAAATAATTAATTTTGTAGACTTTTTAAAATCTAAATTGGGTCCGACCTGACTAATGTATTGCTCATTACATCTAGACCCAATGGCTCTATAATGAAGTCATGTGCATGAGTATATGGACTCAATTATAATCCAAACCATTTAGAGCCATAATAATAAATAATATAAAAGATGTTTCAAATATGCATCTTAGTCCTCATTTCTTTTTCGATAAGTTACTTATCCAGGTAAGGCAATGACCATTTTAGCCATAGAAATCCATTATTAAAAGGGGCATTTTTGTCCCATTCAAGTGTTGGCAACTTTCCCCTTATGTGGAAAAGTAATTTACCCACCTAGGAGATGGGTATTCTTTTACTGGGTAAGTGATACCCTAGGAAAATAAACTTTCCCTAGTCTCACATAAAACTGAAAAAAGAACATGGGATTCATGGTCAATGGAAACTAAAATCCCATTGACTAACTTTCCCCCCTCTCCAAATCCAAAAAAGGAACACCCCCTTAGTGTTTTCAATCCGTTGTTGATTCAGCTGATTGAACTATTCAAACCACCCTTGAGCTGGTTTAACTATTCAAACCATCACCATCCGCCCATAATTCCAAGTCCAACTCTAGTAAAATTTAGAGCTTTGTCAAAAATCGTTAACCATGTTAAAAATCATCCAACCTGGCTGGTTGGACTGTTGACCCATTCAGCCCGATGACTAGGTCATGAATTGTGCACTAAACATATATGCAAATTTTCAAAGGCCATAACTTTACACTCTAGTGTCTGATTGGAGTGTTTTTTTTTTTGAGTAACATTTTTATATTTATGCATTAAAATGCGCCATGTCCCACTATTTTCACCCACAAAAAACCCTTAAAATCACACTTTTTTAATTTTGTTTATAAATGAAAGTTTAGAATGAATTGAAAATTATAATTTAAAACATAAACTAATGCATGAATTACATGAGAAATAAACTCTAGGATTGGGAAACAGTCAATCATAAAATCATAAATAAGTATATATCTGTTGTGTAATGCCAATATTTTGCATTGTCTTCACATCCAAACCATCATGCAAGAAAATTTAAGTCATTTGTTTCCTTTTTTCCCCAATCATTTTTCCTTCTCCACAAACCACGACCATGCTTTTTTCTCATTTCACTTTATTTTTTTTCGATGCATGTGGAAAGGAAAAATACATAACTAAAATTATCTATTTTTAGAGGTCATAATAAAATTTTATTTTACATTTTCTTATTTGAATGAATCATGTACTTCTATTTATAAAAAATAATATTTTAATATTTTTCTTATTATTAAGTATAATGTTATTAGTTTATAATATATTTTTAATATACTATTGTCCTTTTATATAATACTAGTAATCATGCACATGCTTTGCACATGATAATTCTAGATGATGATAATGATGGTAATAATGTATCAAAAAGTTTTTATAAATATGTATTTTTATTTTCATATGTTTTTTGCATTTTATTATTAACCGGATGCATATTGCAAAATTCAAATATGATTATATAAACACCTTATCTAAATATGTAATAATTAGATCGAATTGTGAAATTTTAAGTATATCATTGATAGGTGGTCTACCTACTTGGCTATATTCTTATTTTTATAATATTTTATTTTATTTTTTATGTTTTTTCTATTCATTTGTCAAATAAATGTAAAATTGAAATAGAGGGAATTAAATGATGTGAAAAATAGTAGTTCAATTCACAATTTAGACCTCACAATTAAATAGGGACTAAATTAAAAATGAGTATTTTAGTCAAAAGAAAGTTTCACAATCTTATTTATATTTTTAATAGTAGTGTAAATATAGAATTATAGATGTGTTATTTTTTTATAATTTTTTATATGTACGTGTAAAAATAATTATGATATGTTACACTTGCTTTTTGTTTAATATGATAATTAATTAATATTACACCTGTGCCTTTTTTTTGCAACATTTATGTATCTTTTATTTTTATATTTTATTATCTTTTTATGACATTAAGTGTTAATACATTTGACCCAAAGTTGAACTATTGGTTTTTGCCAAATAGTAAAATAATTTCATTTTTTGTCAGTTATAAAGTATGTATATCTTTTAATTATCAATAAAAATAATTATTGTTTATTACACTTATTTTTAATTTGATTAATAAAATGTCATTAATATGTCTAGTTTTTTTCTACATCTTTTTTTTGTATTTTTTTATATTTATTTCTATTTTAAAAATTTTGTTACCTAACTATGACTTCATAGGTTTATCAATTTGATTCGGATGGTTGAATTCCTTAGCTACCACCTGGATAAATAATGATTTTTTTTTTAGTCAATTTTAAAATCTATGGGTTCATATTGTTAAAAATATTGATATAACTTAAATAACTTATTGGTAAAAAATAACTTAAATATATGATTTAATAAGAGAAAATGAGAGTTAAATACCTTTAAGAATAAGATTTAATGAAAGGGGATTAAATGAGGTGTAAAGTATTAATTGAAGTTACGTTTTCAACCCTTACAATTGGAGATGGATTAAATACACAAATATGGTCATTATAGTAGCCATTAAAGATATAATAAAATGACTTTTATACTCTTTCTCAAACAAATAAATAGAGGATATTTTAGTCCAAAAAAAGTTTTGCACTACATTCACACATTTTATATATAGTATAAATTATCTTTTATATATTTAAAATGTATTCGTAATTATAAATAATAGTTGTGTGAATAATGTAATGATATATGATGTTGAGTGCTGACAAGTAGGGTTGGATTCGAGCCGAGCTGAGCCAAATAGTACGAGGCTCAAGCTCGGCTCGCCAAGGTAGTACAAGGCTCGAGCTCGATTTGAGAAAAATGTTTTATAAAATATATATATATATATATATATATATTTATATAATATTTTTTTATTTGATATTTTAAAAACTAAGAATTATAATATTTGTATTATATATTATTTTCTATAAACTTATTATATATATTATTTTTTGTTTTGAGTTCGGCTCGCGAGCCTCACAAGCCGAGTTCTATTAGACTTGAGTTTGGCTTGTCTATTAATTGAGCCTGTAAATTGGAATCGAGCTCGGCTCGAAACTCGGTTGAAACCGAGCCGAGCTCAAATAGCTCATGAAGTGCTCGACTCGTGGCCACCCCTAGTGACAAGACCAAACAAGTACTACATGAATAATTTGGGGGAGTTTGAATTTACTCCAAACAAAACACGCCTCACACCAACCTCACGGTATGTTGCAGCCACGCTTCTGAAACATCTACGTAATGTTGCAGCCACGCCTAACACCAACTTCATGGGGGGATGTTCCCAATGCATGATTAAATCGTGCTGTGAGGTTAGTGTGAAGAGTAGATCCGAACTCCATTTGGGGATATAACTGTAAGACATCTCTACGTCAAATGCCACAACACTCATGTTATAGAGTGGAGATACAGAAAGTGGCTGCTCTTAATCTGAACATCTTTCCTAGGCTATTCGGCCAAGGTATGAAGAAATAAAAATAATTTTAAAATAATAGAAATATAAAATAAATGTTCAATAAAATTGCTCAAAACAAAAAAGTAATTACTAATTCCAACAAGAGTGTGTAATTCATAGTTACCAAGTACACTCCTATTTGCATTAGATTTTTTTGGGGTGCATCGAGGGGAATCACCAAAATGGAGGTGTATACACGTAAACGTGTATATGACTTGCACACAAGAGATAAACACCACATGCAACCTGAAAGCCACTCTTGTATGGTCCTTGCACATCTCATTCTTTTCCAATGTAGGACTCCATTCATATATTACTCACATGTATATCTCAACAATCTCTCCCTCACATCTGAGTATTTCCATACTCCCCTTATAACATAAGCATTATCATATTGACAAGCTCGATGTGAACCAACCAAGAGCCCTTTGCTCATGACCATAGGGGAGCCAATTGCATGCATCTGTCAATACTTGCACTCAACCAAACCTTCACTTTTGATGGTGCATTAAGGGGAGTTGCCAAAACAGATGAATCGTACACATACACACGTGCAGGATTTGCACACAAGAAACCACGTAAGAACCCAAAAGCTTATTGGGTTATGAGCCACATTTGTATAATCCCTTGCACCCTCATTCATTTCCAACATAGGACTCTATTTTGTATAATACTCACATGTAAACCGCAACATTCTTAAAAAATAAATAAAAATCAAATCAAATTTGATTTAATTTTAAAATGAGCACATCTAAGAATACTGAGAAAGTTTATATTACTTTGTGAATATGTACAATCGACAAACAATGGAAAAATATGATGGTTTGGTGCTTGTAGTGGGACCAAGAGGAAGAAATGAGGAGAGGGAGAGGAATAAGTGGGGGGGGGGGACATATGTGAAGGGTTCTTTGTAGTGGGAGGGGCTGGTGGAAAATGGAAAGAAAAAATGAATAAAGAATGGGAGACTGGAGAGAGAGAGAGACGCCTTATTAAGGGGTGTTTTATAGTACGAGGGATCGGCGGGGCCGCGGGGGAGACATAGAAACAAAGAAGATGAGTAAGACAAAAAGAGAGAAATAGAGACATAATGCCACTATAACATCTAAACGTGTTAAGGAGTTCGGATCTCTTACCCACAACACTTTATTCACCGTTACTCACATCAGATCACAGCCACACATGAATATCTCATGCTTTTACAATAGGAAGATGTTCCTAATGCATAGAGGTAATGTTTTGTGGGTAGGTGTGTGAATAGAGTTCATGTGGGTAGGAAATATTGAGTCGTTAAGAAGAGGGGAGCTTTTTGGGTGGCATGTTGAGTATTTTGTAAATTTTAATTAATTGATTTGTTTATTATTGGTAAGTTTTAATTAATTATTAATTAATTTCTGTTAATTAACTATAAGTTTGATTCATAGTAGAGACATGGGATCAAATCCCACTACTACTACGGGTGTAAACAGATTGATTTCGAGATGAATTAGGTATTAATATTCGAATTTGAATCAAATTAGAAAATTGAATATCCAAATCCGATTTGATATTCAAAGGATATTAAAAATCAATGTTTGATTTCAAATTCAATTAGATATTTGAATATTTGATTTGAATCAAATTCAATTGATTCATTGTTTTGGGTAATTCATAAATACATAAAATAAATAATTTATTTATATAAAGCATATAAATATACAAATTATTTATAGAATTAAATTATTACATACATATTTGTTGAAGACATATTTGATATATAAATGAAATATTTTATATATTATATATAAAAAATAAATAATTGATCGATTCAAATATCTATTGAATCAAATCAGGTCATATCTAAATTGATTAGATTATGTCATATCTCAAATTCAAAATAAGATTTTTGAATGCTCTTGACACCCTAACTACAACTTGGGGGGTTAAGGCTTAAGGCAACAGCCAACAGGGGATGTGGTACCCCTGGTTTTTGTGTTGCCCCATGAAGTAAAAAAGCCATAAATTTATTTAACATTAAATTTAAATCAATTTAATTTTATGAAACAGTAAACTTTAATTAACCACGAACTAAAAAGTTTGTCAATTAACCATAATTTTATTCAACAGTAAATTTAAACAATTTTTTTATTACAATCTGTTATTTAAATTTCTGATTTAACAGTAGTTTAGTGAAATTTCTGGATTTAGTGAAATTACTATTAATTTAAGAACAATTTAGTGAAATTGTTATACTTACTGAATTTATTGTTAAATTTCTGATTTCACTGAATCAACAGTATTTTGTAATTTGAATAATTCAAATTTCTGATTTTATAATTTTGTGATTTGTTCCGATCAAAACTTACGATTTAAATTTCTAATTCAACAGTAATTAATTTAACGAAATACCTGGATTCAGTGCTCGGAATTCCGATTCGATTCGATGCGATCCGATCTGATCCGCTTGCAGCCCAGCTACGTTGGGCTCATTCTCTCTCTATTTCCCCGCGTTTTTTCTTTCTTAACCCCCCCCCCCCCCCCCCCCCAAAAAAAAAAAAAAAATCCCCGCGTTTTCAAAAGTAACCGGGCTAAGCGTCTGGCATTTTGAAGTCAAATTCTTGGCCTTTTCGCCCTTTCCGTTGGGCAGGACCTCTCTGGGATTTCGTCACCAGCTGCATTCGATTCCAAGCTTCCCACCGATACTCCCCCGCGAAAAGCAAATTCATATCTCCCATTTCCCATTCCCCTGCAACCAAGCAAACGAAGAAGAAAAGAGTAAAAAACAGACGGCATCGCCTACTATAATTTCATGGGGTTCTCATCGCCATCGTTGTCGTCCTCGTCGATCCGTCTGACTCCTTCAGAACCCCCCTGCCTGTACACTAACGCCAAAGGAACCAAATTTCGCTATCTAATCTCGATGGCCATGCCTCACAACCCTAGTCTTTGTTCCCAGCTTTCTTCGGCAGCATCTTTTGGTGGAGATTCTAGGATTTATCGCAGAAGGACCACCGGCCTTCAACTCAACCCCCTAAGAAAACCGAATTTTAGAGTTTATGCTTCAAAGGAGGAGTTCCATTTTACTCACAAGAATCAAGGAATTATTGTTGGCTCTGCAATTACAGTCGTTCTAGCAGTTGCAAATCGGGTACTTTATAAACTTGCTCTTGTTCCCATGAAACAGTACCCGTTCTTCCTAGCTCAGGTCACGACGTTCGGGTAATGTTCAGAAATCATTCTTCTATATAGATGTTTTCTCTTTTTGCTCGTGCTCGAATTCCGTTTCTTTATTTGTTCCTATGGGAGTTGAATGATGCTACTACGTTTCTCATCGAGGACACTTGTTTGCTTTGTGGAAACACAGGTATGTGGCGATTTACTTTTCTATCTTGTTTGCCCGATATCGTGCTGGAATTGTAACTGATGAAATGCTAGCTCTTCCAAAATCTCGATTTATGATTATTGGTATTTTAGAAGCACTTGGAGTTGCTGCTGGGATGGCTTCTGGAGGTATATCTTAACCGACACCGACTTAATTTTAAGTTGTAAGACTCTGGAAACAATTTACTTGGAGTTTGTATTCAAATTTGCTAGTAACTCAAGAACCAATTCAAGGGATGGTTTCCTTGTTTAGAACCTCTGCAACTAGATGAGAATGGGTTACACAATTCCATGTGTTTTGTATATTTGAATGTTCTAAGGTGGCGAATCTAAGTTTCAGCAATAAATTCAATAATCGTCAACCACCCTCCTGGTAAATTCTGCAAACAGCTCGGAGCATGATTAGTTACATCTTTGAAAAATGTTTAGATTATTAAGATTGCAAATTTTGTGCATCATACGATTTTGTTTGTTAAAACGGGTCTTCTAATGTGATAAAGAGATGACAACCTTTTGGTGTGCAATTGCTGTCTTAATACTGAGTCCTGTATATCTTTTACAGCTATGCTTCCAGGACCAGCTATACCCATATTGAATCAGGTAATAAACATTATATATGAAGTGAATCAAAATTAGATTTTTTTGATATACAGTTGACTTTAGTTGCATTGCAACTTCACAAGTTCTTTGCTGTCAATTGTTTTTCTAATTGAACTATATCTTCATGGTTGATGCTGCTATTGATGTATTAGTTGGGGTCCTTGGGGATTGTTGCTTGTCCAAATGATGAAACATGAATTCATATTCATTGTAAATTTGAGATTGATAATTTGCCAAGTACAGGTTTTTGGTTTCTGAGTAATAGATTTAATGGAGTTGTGAATTACCATCAATAGATCTCTTAAGTTCAGCATGGGAAAATATCACACCTGTTAAGTCTACAAATTCTGCTCTGAAAGCTTGTTTTTTTCTTAATCCTGCTATTGGTGAGCAATCAAAAAATTTATTTTTGAGGTATCTCTATTAAAAAAATAAGAATCAGGTAATGCAATGTAAGAGTCACCTCTCTGTTGCAGGAAACATTACAATCATATAAAAAACTATTATCCTACATCGTTCTCTCTCTCTCTCTCTCTCTCTCTCTCTCACACACACACACACACACACACATGGTTTCAAATGTTGCCAAATGTTGCTAATGTCGCCCGACATATGTCAATGTCGAGGCTCACCGACATGAAAATGGATGGTAATATAAAAATTACATTATTTCGGTCGACATTTCCTATATTTCGGAAATGCCGACCAAATCGGTCTAAATAACCAAAAAAAAGACACTTTTTCCTATCATGTCGACTAATGTACATTAATAATATAATATATTAGTATATTATATTAATATAATACAGTATGTTAATATAAATTATTCCATTAATAATTTCTATTTAATATTTCAAATAAAATAATTAACAAAATATAAAAACAAAAGAATAAATTAATTACTTTATAATATAAAACATAAAATATTTTTCAAGYAATAAAATATTAACTAGTTAGTATTTTTTAAAATATTTACT